TAAAAGCGGTCTACTAAAAGATACAAAGTTTTTGATGTACTACAATTCCAGCCAAATTAGTAAGAAGTATTTATATAAAGGAAACTACTCACAAAGTTGCGGAAAACTCCTCGACAGCCCGCGACCGGTTTCACCCTTCTTGGGGCTCATCAGGTAGGCGCAGTCTCCGAATTTTCGCCAACCTTATGTTCTACTTGAATTACCTTCACTAATAAGTTATGACGCCTAATAAATTGCCGTTGAAAGCTTTAAAGTAATCATTTCAAGAAATCTGCTTCGTATACCCTCCACATTAATAAATGGTGCCAATCTCCCCAATGTTCACGCTCTATTCATATTTTGAACGCCAACCTGAACAAACACCCAGAAGCCTGTGCTGGGCACATTTGGTTGAAGAACATCACAACCGGGAGTGCCCTTCCGTCGGAAAAAGCTTGGAATCAGTCGAGAAGTCATCGTGTCATAGAAGTTTGAAAAATACTCGAAAATACCACGACGACAATTACTTTTGGCGGACTACACAAATTTCTAAATTACAATGAGGTTAACGGGGGCCTTAAGAAAACTTGTTTATGATAATCTTCAACTGCACGTGCCCAAGAAAACTGTTCCATATTTCGGTTGGCAAGGAAATAGAGATTTCGCGATATTTTCCCAACGTACGCTATTAATAAGATCGATGAAAACTCTTCATCAGCCCATTAACGAACAATGGATAAACGTGGTCTCCAAGTTTTCATGGACATTATGTTCCACTTGAACACGAATTGGTACTTCTTTTATCTGTTTTACTTTCCGCTGTGAACTAAATTGAGTTGCTCACTGAGTCAGGATGAGGCACAGAATAACTCATAAATTGTCTGCGATAAAAAAAGCATCAACCATATTTTTTCCACAACTGCGATACAAGTTTCATTAAAAAGAGGTCAGGTGTAACCAGGTAAATTAACTGGAATGGATGAAGCCAGTGTAGGCTTACTTCTTATACTTGACTTTTGACTTTAGTATTATTATTTATTTATTTCTGACCAGTACACATCCCTCAGCGATGTTCAGCATATGCTCCCCCGATTTCAGCTAGATCTAATGATGAGGCTGTTAGGGCAAGCAGAGTGGATTTACTCTCAAGTTGCACATAATCCAATCCCAAAATGTGAACTTTGGGCAAGGTGATGTAACACCACATGAATACCCTACAGGTGCAGACTTCAGTATAAACTCGACATCGCCACTATCTTGGCCGTATTGGTGGTCTTAATGGTCCTAACTTACGGAATCGCCTGCGCTTCTCACCGCACAGAGCGGTAGTGAATGAGAATGTGAAAAATAGTTCGATCTAAAGTAGTGCCCTTTTTCTGTCTCAACAAAAAATCTGCGATAATGATAAAAATGTCTCTATTTAAAACCAGCTGTATAGTTTTGCAACTTGGAGTAAGTGCATTAGTGTTGGAAAAACATTAACAAATGCTTTTAAAGTAACGTGTACATGTCCGTGTTTGGTCCGTGTACGTAGATTCTCGACCATGGTATAGTGGAACGTTCCATGTCTAGGCTGTTGAAAAATTCATAAGCGAGGTAATAAGTCCTGGCAACTTTCGACAACAACAATTCCGTCAGGTTTCATGGGTTAAGAGAGTGTGTCAAAGGTTCATTGACAAAACCATGTCTGAGGGCGAACATGCAAATTCATAGTCATCCATAATATCTAATTCAATTATTGTTACTGTCTTTGAAGACAGTACTGTACACTATGGAAAGGTTGATCAATCTTACTATTCCTTGAAATTGATTGGATTACGAATGACGCTGAAAACACAAACATGGATGATAACTGCCATTCCAGGGAACCGATTCAATATAGATAGTGGTTGTGGACAGGCGTCTACAATAGTGACGCATTAGGACGAGGTTCCAAGGTGTGCGTTTTTTTCTTCTGGTGAAAGTCCGTATGTGTTGCAGACATTCAATTTGGGATTTAAAAGTCACTATTTTTGTTGAAAGTGGAGGTCGTAGCAAACTGTTAGATGACAGTTTCGCATTATTTCTTGTAGGGCATCCTACCAATTCGCTTTTGTGAGAGTTGGATCCCATTGGTTGACCAAATTTGAAATTTGTGTTTAAAAAAGTGCATTTTTAATTTCAAACGGATGAAAACAAGCAGGCTTTATAACTTGTCAGTATCGTTTATCAAAAAGGAAACTGGTATATTTAATAGGATCCACTCGATAACTTCGGGCTAGAAAATATTCAGCTTTAATTTAAGACATTCTTTCCGCGAGAAGTTAGTAACTTCCGTGCCACTCGGAGCATCACGATCACTCACTATTTTCTATCCACGAGGGAATGTTCTGAGTTTCTTCAGTTCACAAGATTACTTTGGAATCTCTCTTTCAAAACAATTTTGAGATACTCGCCCAATCAAATTAAACTATTGGGTAGTCAGGCTAAGGTAGAAAATATGGGTCTCAATTAGTTCCAACCAATACTGTCAGTTCGAACATAGCCAGCTTTATTCTTATTATTACAAAAGAGTCTGGTACCCATCAATGAATGAAAGGGATACTCGCTACTCGATGTCTGACTGCATTGCGGCCCTTTAGGTACTACTATTCTCGATGCCCTTTGCGCCGAACCTGCCCTGACGTATCGAAATGAAATTTTGTCTACATGTTGCACACATTTCAACTCACAGAACTGCAATTTTTTCACCCCAAATTGGAGTAGTCTCTGAGTGAAAACAGCCACATAGTCATCCCAATACTGAGTCAGAATTTTCATCCAGCAGAAACGCGCACAGGAGCGCAAGACTCCATATTTGTTGCGCCATTCTTTTACCAGAGTACTTGATTTGAAGTATCTAAACACAGTACAGAAACCGCGTTTGATGTATCCGGTGCACCATGTTAAAGACTGCTAACATTGTGAAAATACCTGGTCTGTTCATAGACCATTTGATGACCAGGCGGCCAGAAAAACAACCCCGCTTCAAAAGGTGATCAGACAAAGTTAACCTAAAGTGATCGTGCGCAAGTCTTTGGAATCGATGATAAAAGGTAGAATTCATCCGGGAAAAGATATTCTGGGACAGACACACGGGACGATGTGAGTAAAACGATAGTCAGCGCATGACGGTTTGTGAGCACGACAATAGGTAGGCTGACGATGGACAAAAAGAGTTCAATTATGTAGCGTGGTTACAGTGGTTAAACAAAGGTTCAGGTGGTGATAGGAACAGTGAAAAAGAATTCCCAATGAGGACATCACCGCAAACGAGTACAGCCTGCACAGTTACAAAAGACTGAATTTGATGCAACTTTTGTGAGAGTTTACTCTGTAGTAGATCCAAGGTGAACGTATCAGTTCGGAACATCAAGTCACTCAATAGGTAAAATATAACAACTGTCACAGGTTGGTGAAAAGCTAATGAAATCCGTGTGTAACAGGTATATATATAATATAAATATAGAAGAAGCAGAAGCAAAATGTCGGCAGTCCAAAGTCTTTTTCTTCTTGGTGTAATACTAAAATTCATCGAGCAATGGGTTCTCCAAACTCCAGTTCATCAAACCTTCCTTTCACCGGCCCTTAACTCACCGAAAACTTTAGGTCATTATACTGTCGATTCGACGGATCATCAGTTTACCTTCGTCGGTCTGTAAAATGGCCGTGTCTTCAACCCAATATTTATGAACTTCCAGCTTTTATCTGCTTCAAAGCCTGGTGAGTACTGAGTACATATATGTATTCCCTATTTCCAAGTGGCAGATTTCGCAAATTTCGCAGCTGAAGCGTATTAAATCAACCCCACCAGAGCAAGTCTGAAACTGTTGCTAAAAATCTTTATACCATTCGTGGCATATTCTTATAATTATTGAGACTTTACACCAAAATCCTACCGCCGGGCAAAATACATGTCACAGAATGTTAAGCATTATTCTCCTCTCCCCAACTGCGAGACGCAAAACGTGCAAGGTATGTACTAAAGGAATCAAGAACAAGTTAAAATGAGAGATAAGTAGCAACAAAATAAACCCTGTTCACGCAAAGTCGCATGTTCTTGGGAATATGGATCACAACAGGTTTCTTTCTTGGACGTACTTGTCAGTGTGAGTGAAACTAAGTCATCATAACACTCGACCTTTCAAAAATTCACCCAGTATCTAGATTCTTGTAACTTCGCACCAATGACACATAAGCGTTGGTTATTTGAAACCTTACACTACGAGGAAAGACGTATCAGCAGCCCGGAAAAGTTAAAAGGAACAATCACTTATAAAAAATCATCTAAAGCCATCAGTGTCTTTCTCGAACGCTTTATTGGAATTCACTGCGCTGTCATCACAAAGATACTGGACCCTGTCGCAGTGTGACAGTTTGTGTACCTCCACAACCGGTCGAAATGTACTCGGTAGTTTATATGTGACACTCATAGAACCTCTCACAATGGGTGAGAGGTCAATGGGTGAAGTCTGACTGAGACAGCATCCTAGTCTTCCACAGTGAGGTATGGACAACGTGTGGCAACATGTTCCTCAGACATACAGGCTGCTCCGTCGTTCCTAGGCTAACCATTATGGCCTCATGGTCTGGCTTTTGGGCCAAGTGTTTCGGTCAAGGATCCTAATCACCCCCCTATCTAGGCTAGGGCGCTCTGACAGTATCCTGGCCCACGTGCAACAGTGAATCACACAACTACAAGTAATCTCACGGCTCATCCGCCGTCACATGACGTCATCATGCGCCTCCTGAGATAACAAACCGATCCGGAATATCTCGCTAAAACTTCCTGTTTTGTACTACCGTCTAGCGCGTTACCGGCAGAGGCTCTTTTCCAATGTCCCGACTGTGACCATCAGAGAATACTCAACCTTCAAATACTTTAACCTTCAAGTGATAGGAGATTCCCTCAGACAAAAACAATGTTTTGCGTAATCAAAAGTTTGCGCTTATAGAAGATGACTCATCTTTTTCTGTGAAAAGTAGGGAAAATGCAAACCCACCACCAATAATCCATTGTCCCAATTGCTTGTGGAATATCCAAGCAAATGTGTCCGAGCAGCAACCACGCCTTAAGAACTCGAATGAAGAGGAGTGCTGGAAATAAATTCATCTTTAGGCAGACCGCCGTAATTAGTAGTTGTTCGCTGTTCTCTATATGCAGGGAGTTTTCCTTCCGATTGCAACAAAGAGATTACCCACTGTAGGTGAGATTACATCCACAATGTAGTACTGTTATTTAAACAGAAAATCATGTCCAGTGTTTGATGAACGAAACTACAGGGCAATATGTGTGCATCGCCTGCAAAATTACAAAACGTTGTGTTATGTCAAGACTTATTGCCGACATACTGCCTACCGCCCACATCAAAAACAACCAACGGGTGCTTGAAAAACAGTCCAATATTGCACAGACACACCCGGAATATTCTGTGTGCGAGTAGCTACGTTGCGCCAAGTGACTGGCGTAGACATTCCTTTTGGTGATGGAAGGGGAGAGTTAATCCCCACAGGCGCCAAACTGGTTGGATGATAGACATACAGGGCGTATCCTATAAATGTTTGAAAGTTTTCCTTCGTAATCCAAGAAGGATCTGGACTGCTGGTGAGGCTTAGTTAACTGTTTGTATGTCCGTCAGCCAGTAAAGCCTGGGGAATTCCCATGCACAAACATGTACGGACGATAACCCAGTCGCGCGTGCTCGCAGCTGTGGCAAACTAGTACGCGCTTCTGTAGACATTTTCCTAGAACTTTTAGGAATTGCACAGATATTATTAGTTATTTTATCGTGGTTGACAGGATTATTGTGCCTATAAACCCCTTTAGCCCAAGCTCACAAGCTTTTGAATACAGGCAGGTGCTGAAAAGGTAAAAACAATCGGTCCTGTAACAAAACAAAAAAGATTCTCTTGCAGGTCTTACGGGCCCATGATATGAAGATCGGCTGTTCGAATGAAGGTAGGTTCCCCTGTGCCACGATCTATGGAAGCCTAACAAATGTGGCTTTTCACGGAAATTTCTGTGAGAACGATTGTTGTGATTGTCAGAACATGCTAAAAAGCAACGAAGGCGGCAGTACGTCATAGGAGGAAGGCAGACGAAAAACAAAATGGTATTGTGCGGACGTTTATGCTAGGGTGATCCCTCTAGACGACGCGCCGTACTCTGTTCTAATTGCTCGGTTGGTCTGTAGCATACCTTGGGTTCACCACAAACAAGACCCATTTGCTGCGTTGAAATAATTGTGCAATGCTTGTTCAACCACAGTACAACTAGATTGAACATGTTCCAGTATTCACATCAATACTGTTCTTATTTCACACTCCTTTGGTAAATGTTCATAATAAACACCCTTCATAAACAAAACCAATCAGGAAACTAATTTCGTCACCTATTACATAGAATGTTTCTCGACCACGGAAAACTTTCTTTAGACGTTATCCAGCCATTGGGGTCTTCAGCATCCTTATCATTTTGGTCATCATTATCACCATCATCATCGGCATCATCGGATATATATACTATGCAACTGAAGCACAGCTTATCCACCCACGACCGATGAACCAGCAAGTGTTGCACCTCAACAACGCTGACAGCCAGTGTGATGTTTAGCCCAACAGGGAGCTAAACTGGTGTAAGTGCAGTCACTTACCATCATATGTCACGAAAAGGTTTCTTTCTACTTATTTGTAGATGAAAGTCACTTAAGATTCACTTGAAAGGTATGAAAAGTTTATTATTAACAGCAAAAATGGTGTAAACACCAGCCATAAGTGAACGCGCCAAACCGGTGGTTGTCTCGACAACATCGTCTACTAACCTTAACACTGGTGTTCATTCAACAACTAAATATACTCCCATATTAATAACATCATACGAAATGAAACATGAAGCGGTCTGTGTATACCACATTCACTAGATTATGACAGACCAACTGATCATCTGGACTTCAGTTTGGCTTGCAGCCACAACGTTTTTGTCTATCAGTGAACTCCCCTCATTTATTCAAAGTTATTTTGGATTGCACACGTATCTTTACATCTAACTGTTGGTTCCACTGACTATGGTTTTTGGACAGTACTTTGCACTGAGTTTTTATTGGTATTAATCATTTCCGTGGTATTCGATCTCGATTCATGAGAGTTTCCCATTCCTAATTTTTGTCCTCACCCGAACTTAATCTTGGGATGAGGTTGATGAAACGTATGGCATCTAGCAACGCCAGGTCACCGTCCGTTCAAATGCTGTGTTCATCACGGTTACCGTGGTTGAACCGCCCCGAACACCTGCACACTGCTTATGCTTTTGAGCGTACTGAATATAGTAACGCGGGCACCGCGCTGTTGGCATGCCTCTATTAACCAAAATTCCGACCGATGCCAACGTAGGGACGCCATGCAACTCTGGATCCAATTACTTTAGAGCGGCTTGTTTCAGACCCGTAGTACAAGACCCCGTACTACGAGTAATCGTGCTATGGGGCTGTCTGAGGATGACGTCGTACTATCCTCTGCGACAGGAGTGTAAAAGCAGTAAGGTGATTCCCCCAGGTGACCAGCATGTTCATATTCATGGAAGCAG